CGTTGGTATGTGGTGCTGAGGATCGAACCCGGGCCGCACGCATGCCAGGCCAGTGCGCTACCGCTTGAGCCACATCCCCAGCCCTCAGTCTAATTTCTAATGAAATTTTAAGCTTAAAACTTAATCTAATATTAATAACAAGCAGTTTTTAAGTCTTACTTAAAAATAAGCCCACATAAAAATGTTATTTATGTTTAGCATGTTCAAAAGAAAGCTGCAGAATGGAAAATCAAGATAGATATCATTGCAGGTAAGATGAATCTTAACCCTGATTATCCAAAAGGGCCAACATGCAATAACCTAACCAAAATTTTTATTCAGGTGCTAAGGAAATATATTATAGAATGTTTTTCTGTGTGGAAAAATATGAATGATTGGTAATTGATTTTGTCTGTCACAGTTTATCCATTTTACTGAAAATTTCTATTAGACCTCAGGTAATTTGTAACTCCAGGCCCAGACAGACTATATCATTCAGTGGGTAAAAACATGGGCTTGGAGTTGATAAAACCAATTTTTGAAATCCACTTGTGGAAATTGCCACCAGGTTGTTTCCTAGTTAACTTTTGTTTTTTTTTTTTAATTTTCTAATTACATAGAGTAAGATAATATTGACCTTTTTCTTTCTGGTGGGAGATAGATTATAAACATCTATACCATGAGCTCATGCTTCTTTTTTTGGCAATATTTGGCAATACTGGGCTTGAACCCAGTACCACAGAGCTACATCTCCATCCCTTTTTGAGAAAAGTTGCCAAGGAGGTTGGCTCAGTTGTTTTGATAACATTTTTCACTACATTGGGTGCAATGGTAGAGTTCTTGCCCAGCATCTGCAGAGCCCTTAGTTGGCTCTCCAGCACAAAATAAAAGTTCAGTGAAACATGTTTTTTCCCTAATAATAAACTTACCATGAATTGGTCCTGTGGTATTAAAATATCTAACTAGGTATGTTACTGTTTATAATTAGTAATGAAATAATTAAAAGATCAGTCTTTCTACTATATTAGGTATTATTGTCCCTCATGAAGTTTTAAGGTATTACAATATAGAGCATTTTTGAAATAGTAACATATATATACTTTTTTAGTTGTAGGTGGATACAGTATATTTATTTTTATGTGGTGAGGCAGGTGCTCTACCCCCAGCCCCTATGCCACAGTATTTTAATATGCCAGAGCCTTGCTGCTCCACACCTGGTGTTCAGACCATCAGCACTGACATCCCTGAAAGCTAAAAAAAATTTCAGGATCCACTGAGTTAGAATCTGCATTTTAATGAGATCCCCAAGTGCTTTGATTGCACATTAAAACTCAAAAGAGCTGATTCTAGGGTTAAAATATGTATTGGAAAATTTGAAGGATAGGTAACTGATTCCCATCCTTCTAAAACAGATCAGTAGTAAGTGTACCGTTTAAATTATTTAGAATATGAAAAATATGAGTACTTTAGAAATTAGTAGAAAAATATCTGCCATTACTAAAATCTAGACAAGAAAACTTTGAATTAAGCATCATCATTATGAGATGACTTAAGTCATCTATAGATTTTTTTTTTAATATTTTTTAGGAGTAGATGGACACAACACAATGCCTTTATTTTTATGTGGTGCTGAGGATTGAACCCGGGTCCTGCTTGTGCTAGGCGAGCGCTCTACTGCTAAGCCACAATCCTAGCCCCAGTCATCTATGAAACTATATTTATTTTCCACTTGTTATTTCTTTAACCTTTCCCCTTTAACATGAAATTGTGGTACAAATGGGTTACAACACCAGAAATGCCTTGGCCAGTTTGCCATGTCACTCTTGGGGAAACATCAATTCAGTACATGGAGAAGTTAAAGTAACGTCATTAGGCTTACCAGCATTTCGAACTTTCTTAGTTTTGCTTATAGTTAAGGGTGGTAAATGTTTGGAAATGACATGTTTATCTTTACCTGTTGTTTTTTAGAACTTCGATATGACCTGCCAGCACTATACAACTTTCATAAAAAGAAATCAGTAAGTCTCTTGATTCAGTCCTATCTACATACAGTATTGAAAAGCTTTGAAGGGCTGGGAGTATAGCTCAATGAATGGCTCAATCAGATAGAGTGAATGCCTAGCATGCATGAGGTCCTCGCTTTGATCCCCAGCACTGCAAGAAGGAAAGATGATGGCTAGAAAGACCAACAGAGTGAAGGGAAAAACCTTTGCAGTAAGTAATTGTTTGCACCGTTATATAAGTTGCCTGGGTAAATACAGAAAGCCAGCCTAAGAAATAAATTAACTGTGGGAAAGGCCCATAACCAACAGCCAATACTCAAATTTTTTAAAGTTCTTTCTCAAACATTTTGTGGATACAAAAAGGAAAACTAACAAGTTTTTGTTCTTTTTTATATAGCATATATTTTATTAGTTTGTACTAATACATTTTCATATTACAAAGGCAATTGAGTGGAAGAATCTTCCATTTGATATTTGAATCCTCTGAACACAAACAGAACTATACATTTAAAAAAAAACAAAAACAAAAAAACCTCACTTTGATAACAAAAAAAAAAAGACAAGTTAAACAACAAAAATTTTTCTTTTTACAGGTGGACATTGAAGTGGACCTAATTCGGTTTTCTTTTTAAAAGCCTCCAAAGACAAAAAGCAGCTTAAAACCTGACTACAATGAATTAAAAAAAAAAAAAAAAATGTATTCACTGAACTACTGGTCTCCGGCACCATTTTCTGTTTTCTGTTGCTTTGATGCAGGCTCTTCTTTGTCCGTTTCTTCTCTTGCTCTTTTCACTGTTCCTAAATAATTAGAAGAAATTTTTAATAAATTCAACTGCTGTTTTAATGCTGAGCACAATTATTAATAAAATATCCTAGCCTGTCTCCTACTTGTAAAACAGCACGACAGAGTTACACCATAATTCAAAAATGTCACTCATACAGAAGTTAAAAAACCACATCTCTGACAAGTAACTTCTCATAAAGTACACATTTCTCATGGAACTACCAAAGGACTTAGAAAAAACTTACCTGCTGCACCATTTTCATCACGGTCATCATCACTATCAAATTTCGTTTTTTTGCCCTGAAACTGTACTTTTCCTTTAGAACCAGGCTGGGCAGCTTTATTACCCTTTCCTTTTCCTTTAAATCTGCGACCTGTAGAGGCATAATTGAGAACTTGGTAAAGAAAATAATTTGAGTCTGTTGTGTTTTTGAACACATTTTACTAAAATAAGTAAAATAACCAAACTGTTAAAGGAAATATCAGAATAAATAACCTTTAGACTTCCATTTGTTTAGGGATTCCTGTTGGTCCTCTATGATTTTTTTCAAAGCTGTTTTTTCCACCTCTCCTTCAAGTATTTCCCAAGTCACTTCTTTGTTCCTTAACTGTAGGTTACCATTGTTTGCATCTTTGGCTTTCTCCAGTGCTTCCTTGGCTTTTTCTTTAAAGAGAATAATTCCCTAACCAAGTACAGAAAATAAAAATCACACCCTTAGTTTGTTGTCCCCTAATTAAATTTTTTTGTTCATACTAACTTTTTCCTACCCTGTAATTCCTTTATGCCATTACTAATTCAATGAATTTTACTGAACCAAAAGCTATTCAGAAAAAAAAAATCAGACATAACATCACTGATAGGAATAACAAAGCGAAAAATAAATCATCTAAGTATTTTAATCAACACAATTTAAAAATAGTTTTCTATTAACTTTATCTTCTATGGACTTTCACTGAGCACCAAAAAGTATTTGAATATCTCCAAACCTCTTTTGCTCCTCTGACAAAGTCTATCCATTTTATTTCACCGTGACTTGAAAAGAGGATGTGCAGATCTTCTCTACAGGTCTGATCATCTAAGTCACCTGAAAATTTCAGCAAACATCCAATCTTTTCTTCTAGAGATTTCTAAAGAAATACAAAAGGCAATCAAAAAAGTTTCTTACCCACCTATCAGAAATGGCTCAAACCACTCTATGCCTACAACAGAAACCAAAATGCTGTTTTAATGTAGTTTAAGTGTATTTTCCTTTGTTATTCTTTTTTTTAAAATTTTTTTTAATATTTATTTTTTAGTTCTCAGCGGACATTTTTAGTTCTCAGTTGGTATGTGGTGGTGAGGATCGAACCCAGGCCGCACGCACGCCAGGCGAGCGCGCTACGGCTTGAGCCACATCCCCAGCCCATCCTTTGTTATTCTTTAAAATTGCTTCTGATTTTAATTTAATTTCTTCTATAAGTGACATTTAACTGCAAACTATATAAATCCGATTATTAAACTCAGGACAGTAATTTTAGGTAATATTATTTCTATATCACTTTAATGATAACCAAAACATATTTTCTTTAAAAAAGCCTCAGACATGGTGGGTAACTCAGTAGCAGAGCATGAGCTTAGATTGTGCAATGTCCTGTCAAATCCCCAGCATCACACACATTTACACCGTTTTCAAGACTTTTAAAAGTTATTCTAACTAGTAGATATATTAAATATCAGTACTTTACACTTACCATTTCAGCATCTTCTGCTAACTTTTGTTTTTCTTCTTGCTCTCTACAAATAAACATGATTTAATTATAATTTTCCCACCCACTATAATAAGAAAATTAAAAATGAATAACCTAATCATGACCACTAAGCTACTTGATTACCAAAGCCGGTCCTTAGGTTTTCTGATTATCCAATGCTAGACTACAATGTAATATGGCCTCCAATATAATAAGACACTTAAACTGTGTTTCAAGCCTATTTTAAAGCTTTAAGTAATTCAGATATGTCATACTTCAACATACTTACTGTTTAGCTCTTAACTTAGCTTCCACTTTATTTTGCTTTCTTTCTTCATTTTTTTTTGCAAAGTAATCTTCCCTAAAGAACATAACACAAAGGCTAAGGTCATGAGAACAAAGGTAAGACTGCAAATTATTTTGAATGATTTAAGACATGGCACAGCAAGGAATGTCACAAACATTTTCTATCAAGGTAATCATCTAAAAATTAAAAATACGTATAGGAAGGTTTTATTTCTTTTAATAACAGCTTTACTATGATAAAATTAACCCTTTGAAAGTGTACCTTCAATGATTTAGTAGCATACTCAGAATTCTACAACCATCACTAATTTTAGACATTTCATGACTCCCAAAGAAACCCAATATCCCACTCTCCTGTCTTGTGTTGGTTTTCACTTACCCCTCCATGAATAGAAAAAAAGATCAGAAGTCATGTAAATAATGTTTCACAGTTTTCTGTAGTGTTAATTTCACAAAAGGCGAAAAACCTAAAATCCCAGTACCCCAAAACAACACCCAGCAATTATGAAAATCATGTTAAAAATTTAATTTTGACTATGTAACACTGATAGTATGCTTTATCACAGTGGATCTCAGTCAATCAGGTTTAACACCAGCATTTAGAAGACTATGTAATGCAAAAGTAAGGCACTATGGCCCTACAACTTTATCATGAAAATGCCCTGGTTCATTCTCATTTTAAAGACATGTGCACATACACAAGAACGTGATTCAAGTCTCTATCCTTTGTTCCTTATAAAAACATATTTTTATACAAACTATTAAATATAAAACAGTGATTTACTCTTCACCCACACAAAAAGTCCAAATTTAGTATTCAGCCTGATTATAAATTTTAGATGCAAAGTAAGTACTAAAAGTTAACTTTCCTTATTAGTTTCTAATAATGAAAAGGTACTAATAAACAGTCTTATACTCTGAAAGGACTAGTGTACTTCTCACTGAAAAAAATTTAGGCATTTCTCAAAGGATTCTCAAGAATACCAATTTTTTTTTTTTTTTTAAAGAGAGAGTGAGAGAGGAGAGAGAGAATTTTTTTTAATGTTTTATTGTTTAGTTCTCGGCGGACACAACATCTTTGTTGGTATGTGGTGCTGAGGATCGAACCCAGGCCGCACGCATGTCAGGCGAGTGCGCTACCGCTTGAGCCACATCCCCAGCCCCAAGAATACCAAATATTAACTGGGGACTTTAGTTATGATCCTTATCCTAGTTTGTCAATCAATTCTAAATAACTGAGAAGCCAGAAGAAAAAAGAGTGAAATTACGTACTTAAAGAGTATTAACAGATCTGTATCTTTGTACTTTTGTCCAGGGGTCTCTACAAACTTCTTAGCAGAGTCAATGCTATCAAACACAGCAAATATTGATCCCTAAAAAAAAAAATAAATAAAAGGGAAAAAAAGATTTCTTTTAAAGTTATGCCCCATATATTTTACAACTAGAAGTCTTATCATCATACAATCATACCTTAAAAGCTTTGTGCAATGTTCTTCTCATTTGAATATTCAGCACTTGACCTTTATCTTCTAGCCATTCTTTTATGTCATCAAGGGTTGCATCAGTTGGGAAGCCTTTCTGTGAAAAGTGAACAATTCCCCCAAAATTTTGATTGGTAATGAAGCAAGGATACACATTATCTCTTTCTCTTCCTGTCTCAATCAAATGAGCCTTACTCAGTGCAATGAAAGTGATTCACCTGATATAGGTTTTAAATTTGCACAGAGGGAAAAAAAACAACCATTATTCATATGTTAAGTACTGCTAAATTTCAATAATGGTACATTATACTTTATACTGTTCAAGCTACTTCTGTAACTTTCTGAAAATTTACAGAATAAAGTATTTAAAATCAACATATTAAAGAAAGTTGCTGTAGATTTTAGGTGTTGACAAGTAAGAATAGTTGATGATATGCACTGGGCACTTAGAATATGTCAAAGATTTTATCGAATGTATGAGTTTTTTTTATTTAACTCAATATTTCAATTAGGTAGAAAATATTATCCATATTTATGAAAATAAGGTGTAGAGAGAGGTTAAGAACACTGCCAAAGGACATACAGAAAGTGAGGTAACTGAATCTTGAGCCCTTATCCACACCACTGTTTTCTTCCTAAATAAATGTATTATATTAAATGCATTAAGACCCACTTACAATATAAACAGATCTGTTTTTTACATCATTTTTATACTCATCGGTTACTTCTGGGAGGGGTTTGCTTGGAGATCTTCTGATTTTAGTTTTGTCTTCACTGATTTCCATAAGTTCTGCCTTAGATTTGCTCAAAGCTTCCACTATTACATTAAAATCTGTTGTTAGGCGGTTTAACCTGAAGAATATATATATAACAATGTTAAGATTTAGTAGAAGCACTCATTACTAACAGAGAACCTAGATGACTTTTAAAAGGCATTAGGGCTGAGGGAATAGCTCAGTGATAGAGGGCTTGCCTAGCATGTAGGAGGCTCTAGGTTCAATCTCCAAAATGCAAACAAACCAAAAAGGTTTTTTTTACCTGTTGAATTTTATCATTATTTCCAAAGGTACCCAGCCTTCGTCCAATTTGATCTGTTCCTTTAAAAATTTGTCTCGTGGCAAATTGAAGTCTCCAAAATAATACTGTAAGATAATCATAATACATTTTAGATTTTGGAGCACTGTATAATACTTAATCCAACCCTGGAATCTTTTTTTTAACTACCATTATACTACCAACTTTCATTCTTTAAAAATGCATGTCATAACTTAAAAGGGGCAACAACCATTCTTCCTAAATTTACAATAATGAAATGTTTATAATACAAATTAATAAAAAGAAAATTAAAGTATCAATTACTGGCTGGGGTTGTGGCTCAGTGACAGGGTGCCTGCTTTGCATATGTGAGGCACTGGGTTCGATCCTCAGCACTACATAAAAATAAATAAAGGTATTATGTACACCTACAACTAAAATATATATATATATATATTTATAAAAAAGGTGGGGCACCCCTGGGTTTAATCCCTGGTACCAAACGAAACA